GTTTATGAAGCAAAATCGCTTTCTCCTTTCGAAGTCTTGAGTATTCACAGACCAGCTGTTCGGCCCAATGCTGGCGCCCAGATGGCATTGGCGACAGAAGTAAGCCTTAGAATCGTGATCAGTACTACTAATTTACTCTAGAAGCAGGTTATGAGCTAAAAAAATTTAGTTTTTCAGACCATAGATGAGCATTTGGTCAGCAGTGTGAACTTAGTCTCAGATCTTCGTACCAGCCATGGCGTACCGATGAGGCAACGGAATTCTGCCCGTCTAACGTCAATTTGGTGTGAACAAACTCTTTTCATGCTTGACATACGTCTGGGTAGTCGCTGGATAAGTGAGCAAGTATTCCGAACCGCCTCTGATTTCCGCAGTCTGGCACCCCTGAAATAGCACTGAACATCCCCTTTATGAGTGTACATCACGAGTTTAGTGGAAGGAAGATGTGGCTTCAAATTGTCGATAAATGGCACCACAGTTAGAAGTAAGGGCCATATTCGTGATCAGATCACTGATCAGCCCATAAAGATCAACATTATGCAACAATCTTGCTTGATAGTATGTGAAAATCTAAATGGTTGGATATCACCGGCTAGTGGGGTATAACTACTAAGAATCCTACAATATATAATTCGCTAAGTATGTCTGTGCCGTCTGTTTGTCACGAAATTCATAGCGCCGGTCCCAATAGCAGAGAGACATTGATTTCACGAAGTGATGTAGGGGGTGTGACGTAAACACTATTCCTGGGTGACAGGAAGTGATATCAGATGATAAGATTCGATAAGAGGCCTTAGAAGGGGGAGGTCACCATATTCATAACGCGGGTGACAGCATCAGCTAGCTCTTCATTCCAAGATACTTATTTATTTATCATGCACGCATAGGTGCGCTAAGTAGTGCAAGCGATAAGCTTAGAGTCATAGAACAACCAAAAATACGATTACCATAAAAAAAATTCGGTAACACAAAGCAACCGAGGAAAGACTTCACTGAACTACTGGATTCAGGAATCCTGAATGCTTAGCAAGGTCATCAAATCGACCTTCTTTATCTCTTTCTGAACGTGTAGGTGTTAGGCGCCTCCAGCAGGTCTGATGGAAGTAACTGGAGATACCTCGCTACACGGAAAAAAGGTGAGTTGAAAACTTTGGTTAGATATGATATAGGGTATGGACCAAGAACATCATTGGTGGGTAACAGGAACTGTAAGCTGCTGATAAGATTCGATAACGGGCGTTAGAAAGGCGAGGTCATCGTATTCACAGCGCAGTCAGCGAGGCATACTTTTCAGCAAGTGATATACAGTGTGAGATGGCGACACCGACCGTGGGCGACTGGAAGCGATAACTACTGCCGTGGGCGACTGGAAGCGGTAACTACTGATAAGGGCTGGTAAGGGAACTTGCAGTCGTCGTCACTGTTCAAGATGGTTCACGCTACCAAATCATAGGGATTTAGTGATGAGGTCATTGATGGCAGGTGACAGGTAATCTTATCAATCGATAGAAATGGGTTAGATACCATCTGCGGTACATTTTCATCACTTCTTACCGCTATAGTGCCGATTATTAGAGGCTCAGTGTGTGAACTCTTTCCTTTAATGTTCAACGGAATCAACGGAACCATTGAAGTATTCGCTATTCGCTATTAGATGGATGAAATGATGTCGAGCGGGGGGGGGGGTATATAGTGCGGCTGAAATGGAAAATCGGAAAATTCATCAATCGAAAAAATTTTCGCAAATCTGCCTGCTATGTGATGTGTTAGGAGGTGGCGGTCGCAGCTGAAGCAAAATAGGGAGGCAACCCAACGGTCGGGAGTAGAGACGTTCTGGCGGTGGTAACATTCGGCTCTCCGTGCGACACACTTTTTGACATGTACAAGCGGGGGGGGGGGTAGATGTTCCCAGATACGAACTGATACTGAGCTTTTTTCACCTTATTTTCCTACATTTTGATAAAAAACTGCTTGGTGTGCACATTTAGTGCATTCTACCTCGCCCTAGGGAAGAATGCTTGGCGAAGCTAGGTCGCCCCGGCGAAGCCGGGCCGTGAAATAGAAGGAGGAGCACCCGGCGGTAGGCCGGTGATCCGCTGGTAAACACATAAATGACAAACATCCATGTTATACTCACGCACCCATACATATAAGCGAGAACAGCGAAACATGAAAAACGCAAACATTCGCAAACCAGTGGGGCCGAACCATCAACCCACATTCACCATCAAGTTGAGAATTTTTCACACTACCCACTAGGCCATCCGAAGTTGAGGCTGCTTGCCGCTTCGTTAAGAAACCATTCCCAAAGGCCGTTCGCCCAGGCAAGAAAAAATAATGAGCGAAAAAGCGCCTGCCCGAACATTCTTGAGCGCTACTGTACAACATTTTAAAAAGCTTGAGGTTACAGCCAGTCCAATAGCGCTCCAATGCTGGCAGGAGGGCCAGCTAAATGAAGCAAAGCGGCACATCCTTCAAGAGCAAATTGTTCTTCCAGTGTTTTTTTTTGTTTTGTACAACAAGAGGATATTTACGCCCACTCTAAGATTGGGGGATGGCATGTGCAACGTCCGCTTGTCCTCAACGTAATGCTCGGCCTTGGTTGTATCCGTGCTCAGGACAAATGGCGGGCTCAACGGGAAAACTTGAAGAACATGGATGATGAAGGTAGTTGAATAATATGAGCATTAGCTAAGAAGCTTGAGCAAACCCAAGAGTTGCAGCTTGTTTGCTCGACGAGCGAGGTTTTGAGTTCCAGCAAGCCTGAGACGTGCAGAAGCGTCAGAGGCGCGACTTGAGGACGAGTGAACACTACATCGATGCGATAGCACATCTACTCCAGGACCCATCCACCCTCAGTGTCTTATTTGGTTTTGAATGAGCCTGCAGCAGGTACTTTTGTACTAATATTACGCCTTGCTATTACGCCTATACTTTCATATTGTAAGTGTTGGATCACTTCATAAGTATTAGGCTTTTGACTTTTTCGTTGAATTAGCTCCAAAATCTTCTCCAGCTCAAGCTTACGAGGAAACTTCAGCAGTCCACCGAATTAGCAACTAAAGTGTCTTTCTGCTTCACACATCCTTTGCCATTGTTCTGTTCTACTTTCGCGTGCCCCCTCGTTAATAGCCGAGACCCAGTTAGCGGTCGTAAATGACCACATTGTTGATGAAGGAATAGGAGTAAACTGCGCTTCAATTACCGTCCATATGAGACTGATGACTGACTTGGTTGTGAACGCTTTAGGTCATTTCAGATCACGAACTAATTACTATCAGCTCATATCAGCTGCTGTCAGCTTCTGTCAGTCACGATCAGTATCTCCGCCTCACCCTGTAACAATAATAATGTAACAACGTCCCACTGTTGTTAATTACATGCGCTACGAAACTTGTGACAGGCAGCCTGACTGATTGGCGGACAGATAGGCAGACAGACAGCCAGCCAGACAAATAGACACACTTGCCACTAGCGTATATATATATATATAGCATATCTGGATCCCCTTTGATTTGAGTGTTAATCATACTACTTGCGCGGTTTGCTGAAGTTATCTTCATGAAAGCCAACTGAGTCTAAACTGAGCTTGCTGCGTTCAAAGCTACGAAAATCGACTCATGATTGTACGGGTAAATTTGATTAAAGCAGCCAGTCGATTACACATGTAGGTCAATACACCTCGGAAAAATAGGATAGGCTGTCATCCGCCGATACTGAGCGCCGTCAATATCAAGTTTTACCCTTTGAGTCGACTCTGTGGCATTGTATTAGAATCCAGTCAACTCGCTAGGCTTGTGGTGGTACCACTTATTGCTTCGCGACATGGGCGGTGATTAGTGATGAACGTCGCTGTTTTGTAGACAAAAACATCAATACCGTAGAAGGTTGAGCATCTCTGACCGCTTTGTCTCGCCTTTCCAAGTGGCAAAAATGGTAACTCTTTGCGAGTGCGCACCTGGCTACCAAATGCATGAAGCATTTCAAGCTGCGTTCATACATTGCGGCACAAGAAACCACCACCGTCCAGCAGCGACTATCAACGTTTCGAGCTTCCGTCAGCGTTGGCGATTACGAAGGCAGAGGTATCGAGCGAGCGAATGGCAGCGTCTACCGGCGTCCACCAGCGCCCGCCAGTGTCAGCCAGCGACCATCGGCGTCTCGGTGGACTGGAAAAGTATGGATATCGATCAGTGTCCACCAGCGTCCAGAAGTAGGGTACTATGTAATAGTGCGATGCGGTAGCACACACCAAATTCAACAATCCGCTGTCTCCTCCCTCCTACTTCCCCAGTAGCTCTACTCCCGGTCACCGGTGGACGCTGGTAGAAGCTGGAACTATATCCATACATTCCTAGTTCCTCCAGACACCGATGGTGGCCGACGGACGCAGATGGACGCTGGTAGGCACTGGTAGACGCTGCCGTTCGCTAGCTTGATATCTATACTTCCCAGACGTTGAGAGTGACAGCCACTCAAAACGGTCATGGTCACTTTTGGACGCTACCGCAAAGTATGAACGCAAACGGACCGCTTGATCTTTTGTCTGTCTGGGATTGTCTTAAATGTCTGCCACGTCTGACGTGCGGAACGCCACTATACGCCAATGCTGGGATAACGAGCAGAAAACAACTCCGAACAGAATGCATTGTCAACCTAGTGCAATCGGTCTACTGGGACAATTTTGTGAAAATATAATGATCTCCTGGTGCAAAGGGAGCGCAGGTAACCCCCTTTTCGCTTCCGTAGTGTTTCGAGTCTTCCGACTGCGGAATCAGATGACCAACAACAATTATTCAAACAATTTAATGATAAAATCGCTTAAGAAGGTTGGATTTTTGTTTGGTTCAATGAAAGATTTTCGATGAAGAAGTTGAGAGAAAGCTGAGGAAATGATCGACGCCTATATGCGATCGAGCTTTCTATCTGGTAAAAACGTCCTCAGCACGCTTCTTACGTACAGTTTCCGTCACTTTGAGCCGGAATCGAAAATGTATTGATTATTTGGTTCCGCAAATTTGGCACTGATTCCCAACCTGTTTCACGACGAGCTCTCCGCTTACAGGCACTTCAATGTATGCTCCTAAGTTCACTGTATCTTCCGAGCTTCCTTTGTAAGCTGGTGCGGAAAACAGTGTGATGAGAAGGCCATCAGCTAAGCGGACATACCCTTGTAAAGGAGCCTATAAAAAGTTGCTGAATATTCACAAAAATATTTGCTTTGATTTTCAATATTATTGGAGGTTGCCGCCAGAAATACTGGGCGAGAGACCACATGGCAAAGGGTGAGTGAATATGAACGCTAAAGTCCCATTTGCCTTAGCAGGTATAAAGTGGCAACAAAAGTACCTGTAACCTGTTCAAGGAAACCAAGCGCGTGGAGTACGGTAGCAGCAATTCCTCGCGCTACGAATGTTCCTTGTTCCGAGATGCATGATTTTTGGCGCGGCGCCAGCTCGTTTTCCATCAAACATTGCGGCTCCGGGGTATGCTGAGTGGCAGAAATTTGGCTGGCACTGCACCAAGCCAGCTGTCGCTGACACGCCCCGACTGACTTCAGTGATAACAACTACGATAGTGAAAAGGTTAACACACGTGACATCTGACCCACAACTTATGAAGCTTGTCCTTGCTAAACAGTATCCTATTCTGAGGAACCTAGAGACACTGTAGATTAGCCTGTTGGCCACTTGATGTCCACGGATGATCATCTTCACTTTCAGTCTCCTACATGCATCTTTCACTGCCGACTGGGAAAACAGCTGACCACGGTTGCTACGGTTGCTTCTCTGAAATAAGGAGTATTCCCGGGTTGTACTCCCTCAAAGGCAGTGTGCATGATGGCTGCGGAGGGACGCTTCCAAAACTGGCTGCGAGAAAGCGTATAAACACCGCACTCAACCTTCCCACCGACACAGTTGGAAGCGCTCGCCCAGCTATCATGACCTTTGCCTTTGAAGTGACATTCCGCGCTGATCATGCGGGCAAAGTCACTTGACAGGCGCCGTCTTCACCTATGGAGCCCTTTTACAAAAGGCAGAGAGGAGATAGGCGATTTCTTAGCCACATAATGGATAAATTAATACAACACAAAAGGTCTAAAAAGCATCGGTAGTCACGCAATCAGGATGAAATAGAGGTACCTCTCGAAGTTCGGCTCAAACTCAACCACTTTATTCAGCCTGTCTGGATCAGACCAAACCAAATCGCATGCTAGGGTCCCTTCCATGAACTCATCAATGGGACGTGCAATCCCACGTATATCCTGAAAACATGGTATGAATTACAAACTGAATGACTTCCTGCTGGTCACAATCAAAGGCACGGTCCGCGTTAGAGACCGTGGAAGGGTATTCAAATATGGACGAGAGGTTCTCGGGATATTCTTCAGGGAAATTTGGGAAGAACGTCGGAAACGCCTCTTTAGCTTTCAGCAATTCCGGTCAACAGAAGGCGAAAAGACCGCGATGGGAGGAGTCCAACCGGCTGATTCTTTGTAATGAACCCTACAACTGCCCAAGCGACAGCAAGGCCTCAATTTCGTGCGACTCATCCATATCAGTTTTTCCGAAAGGTGGACGCCAAGGGCGGGTTCCGGAGGCGGAGTCCCTAGAAAAAAGGCGGGTTCACTGAGGCAACGTTGCTGCTCAGCACTTTACCACACACTTTTCCGCAGCAATACTGGTACAAGGTTGTCCGTTGCGGTCAGCGCTAGCTTTCCCACGCAATACCTCCATTTTTCGGACCACATTTTTAACCGCGGACTGCTCCTTCGGAATTACATACCTGCAGTGATCGTAGTTTTAGACTAATGCCTCCATGCATTGCAATAATATCACGCTCACTTAAACATGCAAGCGGAAGGTTCATGAAGAATTTTTGAAATGATCGTACATAGGATCCCTCGCTGTGGCGCATCAATTGACTTAGCAATTCTCGGTCGCTTATTTTTGACTAGGACTACCTTTGTCCAGCTATAGACAATTGTGTAAGATCCTCAGGTTGTGTGCATGCTTTGCGGCAGTGTCCATCAGCCACCATCAGCGTTTAGAGCGTCCGTCAGCGTGAGCGACGAGGAAAGTATGGATATCGGTCTAGCGTCTACCAGCGTATACAAGCGCCCATCAGCGACAGCCAGCGACTGGGAGTAGAGAGCATGGGGCAGCAGGAGAGTAGCAGACTGCTGGTGGAGTATGTGTGATTAGGAGTAAGGAGACAGCTGCTGGATAGGGCGTCGTGAAATTGTGGCGTGTGCCACATACCATCCTACTGCGCAATCCTATTCCTGGTGGGCGCCGGTGGTCGCTGGTGGACGCTGATGGACGTTGGTGAGTGCTAGATCGATATCTATACTTTCTTGGTCTCTGACTTTGACGGGTTCTCAAGGCTAATGGACGCTACTAGACGCTGCCGCTAAGTATAAACTCATCTTCACCTTATTCGGCGCTATGGATCCCTGCGGAGTGTCAGAGATGGTATAGTGGTAAACAGCACGCTCGCTATCCGCACTGCCCAGTGGACTCTGGCCGTCGACCCTCCCCCTAATTCTATCCTCAAATACGACCCGCCCCCCCCATGCTAACCACTTTCGTAGATTTTCCCGACCTCCTACCACTTTTTTTCCAAAAATTTCCAGTTTTTCAGCCAAAAATTTTGCTGTCGAGGGGGGAGCGGGGAGGGTGGGAGGGGGGGGGGACATATATCCAATGTGAAACAGAAAAATTTCTCAGATTTCCCCAATCTGCTATCAGTTTTTCGAATTTTCTTCTGGTTTTTCCCCAAATTTTGCTGTCGAGCGGGGGATGGGGTGAAGAGTCATCAGGATCTAGTTACCCTCTCAACGGCCAAATACGAGTCCCTTCCCTCGAGATCAAATAGGACGCATTGTGATCAACACAATGATGGCGTGCCCTGGTGGGAGGACACTCCATTGATTTGCACATCGAGTAACCCGCAGGTTGCATACACGCCATGTTGCATACACCTCAAAACGCCTCGCATGCCAGGGCACATCGTTTGTAGGGAATCCTCAAACAGTGGGTCGTATTTGGCCGCGCAGGAGAGGGAGGTCGTAGTGAGTGCGGCAGCCAGTAACGAGGCCGCGGCAAATTTTCAATGTGCTGAGTCCTGTACAGCCGAAACTTGCTTTGTGAGAACTCGGATATGCAAAAAAATAGTACAAAACTTTCATTCATGCAAACTAATCCGAACTACCTGCAAATATTAATATTAGGTTGTTGCATAAGTTCCTATGCACGTGTTTGATCCTCTCCTATTTTCGTTCGCATGGACTTGTGTATTACGTCATCAGCGTCTGTGCGTGACGTGTACATAACACTCTTTCAAGTACACTAGCTACCAGTCGGCTCGCCGCGCCTTCGGCGGGCGATCCTCCTTCCGCCGTGTCCAGTGCTGGGCCCCCATCGCCCGAGTGGGTCGGCTGGCCATTCCTACTGAGGCCCAGTCGTGTGAAGTGGATCCCTGGCAGTTCCTACGTGAGACCCAGTCGGATCGCCCCGCCTCGGGTAGCCTTCCAACCCCCTTTGCCACAGAAAAAATGTTTTTTTGTGCAAGTGTCCAGGACATTACCGTTTCACATTTGGTATAGTCCCCCCCCCCCTTCCCCCCTCAGTGGGACGGTTGTAAAATTTGTAAAGTCAGCGAGCGAGTGAGAAGTGGGAAACTGGGTGCTCAGTGAAAACTGAAGTGCTAGTATGGTATTGGATCGTTTGTAGAGATAAATACAGGTAAATTAAGTAAATAAACAAGATAAATAAATTACAAATAAGTTATAAAATGTTCGATTTTGACCTCATGTTCACTACATATCTCATTTGTCTTGAGAAAAATATAAGGCTTTTTGGCCCCTTACTTTTGCTGAGGTGTCTCCCCTTACTTCATCTGGCTTCCCGCTGTCCGCACGTTCAAGCTTACTTACCATCGCTTCGGGTTGCTCGAAGGATACGTTTCTTAAAAATTTTATCCATGGCACCGTTCATTTCCGCCGCTGCCCGCGCCATTGTGGGCGGAGCCTAGGCGCTTACCATTGTAGGTGTTCTGCTAAATGTTGCTCTCCTGCCGCCAACATCGCAAGCTTGATCCCGTTCGCCAAAGTGAATTTCCACACAGTGCCCAATTTTCGGACGTGAAACGCAAACCTACAAACACTCAACTTCTGCTTTAGTATATAGAGGATTATCTTTGTAGCGTGTTCTGTAAATGTTGTCTTCATGCCCGCAACCATCCAAGGCTTGATCGTTCGCGAAAAACGTTGAATTTCCACACAGTGCCCAATTTTCGGTGAACACGCAAACTACAAAATCACAGACTTCTGCTTTATATATGAGATTACCTTTGTAGGTTTCTGTAAATGTTGTCTCATGCCAGCAACCATCCTAGCTTGATCCGTTCGCCAAAGGGAATTTCCACACCAGTGCCCAATTTTCGGGCGAAGCACGCAAACATACAAACACACAACTTCTGCTTTATATATAGAGATTACCTTTGTAGGTGTTCCTGTAAATGTTGTCTCATGCCGCAACCATCCAAGCTTGATTCCCGTTCGCCTTAAAATGAATGTTCCACAGCAGTGACCCAATTTCGGAGTGAACACGCAAACATACAAACACACAACTTCTGCTTAATATATAGAGATACCGCTTGTAGGTGTTCTGTAAATGTTTGGTCTGCAATGCCGGCGAACCATCCAAAGCTTGATCCGGTTCGCGCAAAAGTGAATTTCCACCAGTGCCAATTTTCGGGCATCTGTCTTGTAACACGCCAAGACATATGCACACACACAACTTCTGTTTATATATAGAGTTACCTTGTAGGTGTTCCTGTAAATGTTGTCTCAATGCCGCAACCATCCAAGCTTGGTCGTTCGCACAAAAGTGAATTTCAACACAGTGCCCCAATTTTCGGGTGACACGCAACATATACCTCCTCATCATTACGGAGTGTCGCGGCGGGTCAGTTGGCGGCTGCGTTTTCCGCGTGTCAAAGTCTTTCTCACTCAGTTGTTGAAACGGGAAAGGTGCATTACTGGTATTATACCCTTCGTATTACTCGTTTTCTACCAACTTTGTGTCGCATACGCGTTCAAAGAAAAGGCTGGAGAACGGGCTTCAACAGTGCGCGCACCTCCAACTCGGCTTGCATACGCCACCGACAGTCCGACATTGAAAAGAAGAGTACAAACACACAACTGTCGTGCTTTATATATAGAGATGATCACTCACCGAGCCCTTGGCATTTGCAGGCTGACAATGCCGCACAGATTTCCACTGGTGACAGAACTGTACCTGCGCCCAGCTGCCCTGGCATTTGCCTCCACGATTCGGCTGCGAACGCAAAGGAAGGCCCAAACCAAGCCGGTGGGATAAAAACATACGGTGAGGACCGTTATCTTTACAGTGACATGCAAGAAATAGCGTTTCGCCAAATTCAAGAAAGGAAGACTTTTCTCTCGAGAGTGCTCCGAGGCTCGGATCGGCGATGGAGTTGGATTTGGAAGTTACTGCGTCTCCACCGGCGAGGAGGACCCGTACCTCACCACCAGAGAAATGGCAACCATGCTTAGCTATGATCATTCGACGGTGCACGTGGCTAGAAAAGCTGGGCAAGTAGCAAAGCTTGGTCGATGGGTCCCCCACATGAGCTGTCCGCTTATCACCTCTCAAGGAGGGTGACCCACCAGCACTTCTCGTCCTCACTTTCCAAAAGAGGCTTCACTTTTTCAACTCGGTGACTCATGGAGATGAGAAGTGGGTCTTCTTCGATAACCTTGTGAGGACAGCGGCAGTGGGTCGACAAAGGAGAACAGCCAGAAGCCACCCTCAAGACCGACTTTCACCCCCAAAAAGGTTTTCCTGTCCTGTTGGTGGTCCAGAAGAAGCATGGAGTAGCTGAGCAGCTGCTGGAGAAGTTGACAGACGATTGACGCTTCCACATACGTGAGCCCAGCCTGCGGAAATTGAAAGATCACGTCGACCGTACTCAGTGGAAGGATGCGGAAATCTAACTTTCCACCATGACAACGGCCGAACCTCACACTGGCAAGGCGACCCAGCCGAGTTGGAGAAATACGGAGTGCTGATGTCGCCCACCCTCGGCCATCCCTACCAGCCCTGCCCTCGCTTCTTCTGAATACTGGCTGTTCAGCCACCTGCAGCGCTATCTGGACGGAAAAAAGTTCGAAACAAAGGATGTCAGAAAGGCGCTCGACGACTTCTTCAAGTCCCAGCCCCCGTCGTTCTGGAAGGATGGAATCGACAAGCTGCCTGAGCGCTGGCGTCGAGTATTGAATGGTGATGGTGCATACCTCTAATCTTCAGGTGGGTTCGCTATTGAGATATTTACGAAAAAAGTCGTATATAAGAACTTATGCGACAACCTAATAAGTCGACGTCATCTCTAAGTCCATTGGTGACTAAACAGTACAACTCAAACTCTGGTTCGCTGCCAATGATACGGGGTGTCTGCGGTCGCGCTTGCCGCTGAGCCAACCTGTTTCTTTCTCGAGAAGCGACAGGACTACCATATCGTTCGTATAGACGTCTTCCAGCAGTTGTTCTCCTTTATCGGAGTCAGCAATGGCGGAGCACGAATCTGGCAGCGTCGACAGGGACATGCCCCATCATACGCAACGGAAAACACTGTAAACAAGTGCACAGGCTCGCCATGCTCGCGTGAACAGGCATTACGCACAAGTTACACCATCCCATCACTTCTGCACGGACCTCAGTCCGCGCAGAAGTGATGGGATGGTGGCGTCCAAAAACAAACCTCGGCGCATCCAGAGTCAGCGTGATCGGCGCTAAACGAACCATACTGCTCCTGCTCCACCACAGGATACGTTTTTCATGCGTTCCTGGTTATTAGAACACGCTCATTTGAGACGGTACACAGGAAACGTTTTTTGCGCAGCTGGGAGTGTTTCCCAAGAAATCCCCATCGCGAGACCTCATGAATCCCGTGAACTTCAGAAACAGTCCAAGAGGTTTTTAGAAAGAGAAGATCTTCAAACACTCGAAACCGTTCTCAGATTTGTGAAATGTTGAGCTACAAAAAAAAATATTGATTCGAACCTGTTCAGTTGAAATCACTCCCCAACGAATCCCCATGGCAGATTTCTCTGTGATTTTTGCGGCCTTCATAAACGTTTCAGTACTTTTAGGAAGTGCAAACCTTCCTCTACTCGAATACGGTCTCCTCTTCCCCACAGGTCCGCTTTTGAAGAAGTTATGATCCTTCAAAGACACCCCACTTTGCTGAAAACTCGCGTTCCACTATGCGCTGGTCCTGCCCAGAATCCCTCCCTGGTACCTCGGCTTTAATCAGCTGATTGCGGCTGGATTGCTCTCGTTCGTATTTACTCTTTCGTATTTATCTTCTTCTCGGTTTATTCGAATATCGAATATTTATCTTCTTCTAGTTTAACTCGAAATACACGTCAGAGCGCGCCCAGCAGATTTTGCTTGGACCGCCTAAGAGTGCTCTTAGGAAGAATTGGCTTGATTTCCTGTTTTTTTTTTCTTTTAATTGCAATTGATTTAGGTACCAGAGTTTTTTTTGACTCGAGAGAAGTTGGGTGAAAGCTAATGCCTTTCTTCTTTCCTATTCTCTTTTCTGAATCAGGATAGAAATGCGCAAAAAGCGAGGGGGGCCTTATTCAGGATTGTTACTTTTTCCATTTTTCGCGCTTACTTATACATAAACTTATGAAGTTTCTTCCTCCTCAGGGGGGAGGGGGAAGAAACTTCATAAGTTTAGGTATAGGGGGGGTCGTACCGAACCTCCAAAAAAAGCGGGGGGTCGTACGGGCTTGACCAAAACCCCCATCGAATGCTGTGCCCTGTCGCATACACGCCATGTTGCATTCAATAAGGCAGTACGTTTAGACTAAAAGTAGAATGTGCGCCGCATCCAAAAAAAGGAAACAACTGACTGTGAAAGCTCTACCTTAAGACACGTGAGTAGAGCGAAGAGTTCAACGCCATGTGAGCCTCGGTCAACGAAATCTCCAAGGAAGACGCACCTGTAGCAATCCCTCATCAAGAGCTGGTATTCTTAGAGTAACCAATCAAAGAAGGGATTATACCGGGTTTCGTGGGGCCATCCGTTCAGATTGAACCACCGTAGAAGATCAGAATATTGACCGTGCGTGTCTCCGTACACTATGTAAGGTAAAGAAATCTAAAGTCAAAATTATGTCAAACCCATATAAAGGATGAAATTGAGGCTGCATCCTGTGTGATAAGGGAGGACCTGCCTCGGCTCCACCTACCTCTAACAGTGATTCTTCAAGGAATATACCAGCACCCATGCGGAGGACTTCCTTTAGCTGTGCCCTATTGAAATCGAATTCTCCTGGACCGTTTTCAATCATTTTGGTCAACAGATCCGCAGCACACTGTCTACCAGATGTGTACGTTTTTGAAGAGCCTACAAAACAGTTCCTCCCTCCAAAAATGTCGGTATCTTTTCGCATATTATCAGCTGAATTTCAGGATTAATTTCGGAAATAGGGTGCATTTTAGTACATCCGACGCTGATAGGACGAAAAATGCGATGCAATTGGCCTCTGCGACATTCACACCGGGCCCCATCGCTTCTATGTATATAGCAATTGTACAAAAGCTCCAAGAATGGACGATATCCCCCGGGAGTGGACACGCTGTGGGCGACCAAATGCTCTCCTGTGGCTACCAATGCAGCATGAACTCTTGCTGGCTGCTTGCGTTCTTCTGCAAATGAACCCGGGAGGAGAAGGGATTACTGATATCGTGTGAGCTCGGGACCATTCCCTGCTCGTTTGCCTTCTCAATGAGAAGTTGTTTCTTTCTCCCATGTACATTACCCTCAAAAATCCCAGACGAACAAGTGATCAATTGATGGGTGTCCCGTAGTCTTGTTTCGGTACTGAAATGGTGGCGCCTCGCCAGCGGGACGCAGCGCGTCTATGCGCGTCATCACGGGGTCTGAGCGCTGCCCTTGCGAGAAAGTTTATGATTCTGTGTGTTTACTTCGGAAGTACGGTATTGCGAGCTCGCTTACCCCGGTCTGTACTAAATGGTCCATGTTTATCCTACTATATATAAACGGCAACGTCTGTTTGTTTGTCTGTTTGTCTCTCTGTCCGGAAATTTGGAATCACCTGAAGAGCCAATTGGCTGGTCAAGGGTGAGTTGGGTAGGGCATGGGTCAAGATGTACGGAACAGACACGAAGTGAGCTAAGCCCTGCCCACTGTGAGCGGGGCATGCGCACAGTTGTGAGCTACATAATTCAAAAATTCGTAGTTCGGTTCTAGAAGATCCCGGAGAGCGGAAATTGTGGGAAACGATAAGCAGTCATGGCGGATGAAATGAGGGAGTCCATGATAGGCGGGGCTGCTATAAGTGGGCGGTGCTCGCTACAAAACTTACAAAAATTCGTAATTCGGTTTCAGAAGATCCCGGAGAGCGGAGTTTGTGGGGAAACGAGAGGCAAACAGTTGGCGGACGGAATGAATGAAGCACACCCGCGATGGGCAGGGCGTTCGCCGAAGTGAACGGTGCCGGGACAAAAACCCTCAAAACATATCCGAAAAACTCCGGAAATGGGGAGTAAGTGAAACTGAGCAATGGTTGGGCAGATGAGGATCGGCCGGCTTCGCCGGCCGATCCGACTGGCCCTCCCTCCTCATGGAAAACTTCTCACCGGCGAAACGAAACGCCAGCTCGCTCGCTTGGCTAATTTTCCCAGTCCGTGTCTAATTTGCTTTTTGCAATAGAGCCGGCTTTAACTGCTGGTCTGTAGATTCCCCCCCCCCATCAATACCCTTCAAACCAGGCCCGCAATCGCATAGTTCATTCAGAACTGGGGACAGCAGCCAGCGATACCCAGATATTATACAGCCACCGGATGACAGAAAATGCATTCACGCCCATTCCCTCGAAGATACGTGAAGAGATTCTTGAAGAGAGAGAAAAGCTGCAACCTCAAAAATGGGGAATACAACGATGCGAGGGTATGGTGGCCACACACAACGGCTTCATGAATTAAAAAGCGAAAATGCAGCGAGGGATTTCCCAAGAAAAGTAGGGCATCAGTGGTTGAAGAGGCTTCAGTCGTTCAACGACATGGCGGAATCAGTACTCGAGGTATGAACACCCACCAAGGCTCATCGTGTTGTGATTTACTTCTGGTAAATACGACCACACGCCCCCTCTTTGAATCGAATCCCAGTGCAACCTGAAACCCAGAAAAAATTAGCACAGAACAAGATTTCTTAAGTGGGTGATATCGGACAGGTGTATTTTAAGGATGACGGGTATCTGTTCGCACCTGATTAAGGGTTGGCTGGCAGCTGGGTGCAAGATATCCTTAATTAGGTGCGAAAACTTGGTCCCTAGCTGTGATTTAACCCATTAACAAGGGAGGTCAATGAGCTGTTCAGCAGCACCAAAAATATGGGTGTATGTGTACATTAGTAAATAGAAAGGTCCAGGTAACGAAGTTGGAGAACGACCCTCTGAGGATACTGGTAGCCATCAGTTCAACAAGATCTACCATCATGACTTGGAAAGCTCCAGGAGAAAAATTGGTGAAACTCCGTATATAGGGGTCATCAATAGCCCTTATCACAGTTCTGACTATACTTATAAATGGCGCCGAGGCCATTTGGCACCAACATGGCTCTGAATAATTTCTCCCGCATGAGGGGTGGGATGCTGCAAAAATCAATCATGAGACTTCAAAGCTATCTCACTACGTGCAGATATGGTTTCTAGAGATATGTAACAGCTTGGCAGGGACATGATGTCATCTAACAGCAATCTATCCCATCTTTGGTTCAGTACTCTTTCCAAGGCATCCTTGCTCAGTACAGTGCGCTATAGCGTCTACATAATTTCGCTCCCACACAGCTCCTAAGAAAACCTTCAACTCAATGCATGTACACTATTTTAGTTCACTCCTGGGCAGCTTTTCGTGTTTTACAGTTTCACACCATCTTGGATGAAAACCACCGAGAGTACTTGCACTGCTCATATTCTAAACAGGTTGCACAAGTCCTCTTTTGTGGGTGCATTGACACTCAGGGTTGGTTTAACCTTTCCACGCCGAATGACTCGGTGATTCAGTGGATTATTTGTAAGAGACAAGCGAGAGTGAGAATAAGCCTTCATCTGGTGATCACAGAACAACAAAGCGGTAACAAGGTGTATTTGCCTTTTTGTTTAGCTAGCAGTCCTGCCCGCCACCCGAACGTTAGGGTCGAGGGGCATCGTCGGCGACGATAATACTACCCGAGGCGACAATAATGAAATGTCAAGCACTGTATAGCGCGCTGTTACAGGCGCTGCGCCCGATATTCTGCCATGACTCATCATTTCTTTCCAGGCGGTGATTCGGCGGTGAAGCTCGAAGAGCCAACCGCTTGCCGAGGTCGAGACTGCAGCTTGGATCCTCATATCTTAAGACGAAGCCTCGTCCTACCACGAACATCTCCGACCGTCTTCTAATCTGCCTTACCTGTTGGCCTATTTTTCTTGTATCTTGTTTCGTTGTTAATCCATCGCTTTTTGCTGTTGTGCTACTTGTGTGCCATTTATGCTGCATTTTGTATCTACTGGTAACTCTCCTTCACTATGTACTATAAATGTCATTAGGATGAACTTTAGTAAATGAACATGTCTTAACAGATGCAGGACTGAGCCACTTCCACGGCGCTCTCGCTTACTGGTAGCAACGAGCGGTTCACGCCTCGCTGGTCGTAAAAAGGGGAGAGGAAAGTTGACCATGATCCTGGTTTTCAAGCCCAGATTCGACAGGCTACTCGTGGTTGAAAGTTGCTAGCTGGGAAGGCATGAAAACCATCGCCTCGCGGTCCTTCTCCAGACAAAGACTACCGCAACCGATTGTTTCATAGCTTCTTCATTCGAATGCCTTCTCCGTTTGAGTTCGTGATCGCTCGTTTTTGAATTTTTCAATTCAAAAAGTTCTTGTTTTCGCGTAGAAAGTTCATCGGCACTCTTTTTTTTGGGCAAAACTCCGTGAAAAGGGCACTGTGGTGAAGAACCAGAGTACGGTACTCTTTGCTTTAGTTTTCGATTTTTGGCAGCACCATCTGAACGAGGGTCTAATACATTGATGAGGATGCCGATGTCGAGGTTCGTGGAGAAAAAGTAGAAGTGGAGATCTGTCCCTTGTTCAGATGTTATAAACGAGTTGTTGCACCTGAGTTGACACGAAGAGTTTATGCAGGATGCCGCCGTTCAGTACTGGAGTTGTTGATGGAACGTTAAACATTGGATTTTGACCGCGAGAAGTGGTCCACTGGTAAGGTACTCGTGATCACAAGATAGCTTTGTTAGTTGCCTCGCGAGCTCCTCCTCTTTCTCAAGTCACTCTCGCGGGAAAACAATAACAAAAAAGGACAACACTATTTAGTGTTTTTTATCTCTTATTTACACTTTCAAGTATTTTTTTTGTTTCGCGGCTTGAGCCGTGATGTGGGCCTGTAACGGAGTATAGCCCTTTGTAGAGGTCATACTAGGTCTCTTTGACCTACATCGTCATTAAGGCTGAGTATTAACTATCCCAGTCCGTTTCATATTTGGCAATGTCAAGTTGCATTCGCTTGCTTCACACAGTCAAAGAAAGGCTCGCGTTCGCATCTGCGAGTTTGATGGACATACGCTAGTCAACATCTTATATCACCCATTAATGGACACTAGACTACTAGGTTTGCATTAAATATGTCGGTTTTTAGCCCTTTTGCGCAGACGACATCACCAGCTCACACGGCGCTATGGCAGCTTAGCGTTTTCTCTCACATTATTGCGTTTTCGTCAACCTCTCAGGATTTACAGTATGTTCTCTGACGCTATATGCCTCGGTGCTCTGTATTTTCCTCCTTCTCCAATCATTTCGCCTTGTTTCCTTTTTGAAACTCCGTCTCCCATGAGTCCTGCTCTCTGAGCCATTCCTTGTTTGTTTCTTTTCCATTATCGCACTCATACGCGTAGCCTTATATTCAGCGCTTTTCCCACGAGTCCTTTTCCATTAGCTTCATTCATCTTCTGGCTGTTTCCTTTCCCATAACAACATCCGACATTGCGCTCAAGATAACGATAAGCCGAGAACGCCATGTGGTTCCGCCCTTTTCCTCGTCCAATAAGTCGCTCATCTGTACATTCCATCTCAATATCAGTTGACCTTAACTCTTAGTCATTGGGAGCTCGAATCTTCGGAGGTTACAGTTCCCCACTCCCCCTTCCCCCAATGGGAAGCCCCGCCCACAGCGCAGAGCCGAAGACGGTCATTCGCAGCTGTTGTACTGTTCCTGGTGTTGCTGACGTCATCATCTTGTCTCCTGCGATTCTGGGGCGGTTGTTGCCTCTCATCGAGAATGGTTCTGAGTGTCCGCTAACAGACAACCTTGCAAACGTCCTGTCAGATTTGTACGCCGTGCTGCTGCCCATAAACTGCGCGAAGACCCTTCGCGACAGTCTACGGTGCTAGCCATTACTGAAGTGCGCAGTTGCGTAGGCGACCGGCTCTCGCATTAATGAAGGTAACACTAATCCGCCTTTCTGACTTGAATTGTTCGTTCGCCGGCTGTT